GATGTGAAGGCTAGCAGGTGGCATAGCCAAGAAAATACTGTTTCATGGTGGTGCTATGCAGAAGGTAAATACTCTGATATCTTGGGGAGAGCACATGGTTTTCCAGTTATTTTCTAACTGTGGATGCATAAACTTGCTGTGCTTAATCAGGGGCCCACGAGGTGAGCAAATTTTTAATTGCCTGATGTTTCAGCTAAACTTCTTGGAGTCCTAGTACAGATGAGTCTGGAGTGATTTTGAAAAGTAACATTTGAGATTGCCCAAGTGCAGCCAGAATGACACGGTGAGGACAGGCCTGGTGACTGTCTGTCCCACGGGCTCTGCACAGCTGGGAACCTCCATGGAGCCACGCTGGTGCCAGCTCTGCTCCAAACACCTTTGGAGTTCGTTGCACTTGGGAGCTCGCCCTTCAGAGTTAAAGCTTTCTTAGTCTGGAGGCCCCTTTAGAGCAGTGACCAGTGCTATTGTACATGTAAAGAGCATTGAATGCAACAGGGTCTGGAATGAGTAGCAAGCCATCTCTCTCTGCCTTCTAAAGAAATATTTCTATTGTTTATATAATTTGCTACTGCAAGTTTTTGTGTTTTGTTGGTTTTTGGGTATTTTTGGGTTGTTTTTTTTTTTTTGTTTTTTTGGTTTTTTATCTGGCCATTTCTAAGGTATTTAACGCACCTTCAGTAGGGCTTTTAAATTGAAAGCTATATGAGCAAAGAATTAGCGCCTTCCTTTCCCATGGTATCTTTCTATCCCAAACCCATCTGTTTCTCCAGTATATTTAGGCTGTACTGGAAAAACTTATTAACATTTACTGACCATACATGGTCTTGTATCTTGATTAATAAATTGAATGTTTTCTGCATTAGAGACAAAATTTAGTGTTGAAATACAGCATTATGCTGTCTCACAGATATCTGGAAGTCATCAAGTTTACAAAGAACAGTCTTGTTGAGACATGCTAAAGATACATGCCTTTCTTTAAGCAGAAGCAAATGACAAATATGTGCATATTTGGGTATGACCAATGCTATACATGGTTTCTTTACTATTTTAAATATGTTTATTTTAAAGTTGGATGAAGACTTTTGCTCAGACTTCATTCAGTTGTGGAGGAGGAAGTGTCAGTGAAACGGTTTATAAATGTGCGTACTTATTAAGGTTAGCCATGATACTTTCATAGATAAATGCTACTTGTGTTTTCATGGAGTATTATGTTCAATGCATCTGTGTTTGTTTTTACAGCTGTATCAGGCTGTACAGACTGAGGAGTGGAAGTTGTTGACCACCTGAAGTCTCCTGAAGAATTGTTGAACTGTAGTTCCTGTTAGTGAATTCAGAATAAAACTTACATCCAGCCTTGCATATTCCTTAGGGGGAATTTCACTCTGGATATAGTGTTACTTTCAGTTCCTACATTTTTGTTGTGCTTCCTTGGATAAATAGTGCTTAGGACAATATACCACACAGGAGTATCTTAGAATTCAGTTTTGAAATATCCTTTTCTTGACTCACTGTGGGCTGCCAGTAAAACGTTGCCATGTAGTGTAATTTGCTTAGGCACAGTATTTTCAAGGAAAGGCACAATAGTTGGTGTGTGAGAGGAAATTGAAGTTGTCTGTGCTGACAGTTCACAACATTCCAGCAAGCTGATAGTTAATGGGACAAGTGTATTATTAGTTTCCTCATTAATAATGGAAATCTGGAGTCTCCATCTTCCCTCTCTTTCCATCTGTGCTTCTGCAAAATTGTTAGAAAATGGAACAAAATGTCAAATTTCAGACAGGTGAATGTATCAGATATAGCTTAATCATGTTTTAATGAAGGACATGGCATGCATACATTGTGTAAGAATCTTAAAAGCCTAACAATTTCTGAATTTAGATTTGCTTTAATATTTAAAGATAGGATTTCTGGTGTTGTGAATCTTTGAAGCTAGGCTTCCTAAGACTAGTCACCAGTAAATTAACAGATAGGAAAAAAATAACTATTTGGCCTTCTTCTGTGAACTGTGTTTACAGAGCTAGGCAGGACCAGACATCTGTGAGGAGGTTTCCTTTGAGATGAAGAAAGGGGGATTACACTGGGCTCTGAGCTGAGTGGGAGCAAAGCACTGCATGGAAGTAAGTGTGGTTATGAAATGAGAGGCTGACACTCTCCGTGGTTGATGGACAAAACTGTGTTATGGTTATGAGATATTGAGGCAAGGGGTGCAGAGGAGATGGATGTCAGGGCTGGTTCAGCCTGAGGAAGCTGTAATTAATGGCCAGATGAAATGCCAGGGGGTTGGAGGCAGGGGTTAGGCATATGTAATTTCTCAGATCTCTTTGCTGACCTGAGTGCATTACATCCAAAGGGCTTATTTACATCCCCTCAGCACACAAAATGTGCAAGGAGAAATGGCGTTTCTGAGAATTGCCTCCATGTCTTCTGAAGCACTGAGTAAATCTGTTTTATGTCAGGAGAGCCTGCATTTAAAATGAAGAGAGAGACTGTACCTCTTGCTGTCACAGTACAGACTGATAATTTTTAATGAATGCCGTGTAGGGCTGCAGAAGAAGGAATGAGAATTTACAGCACCTGGAGGCACTCCTTCCTCACTTTGGGATACCTCTTCCTCCTTCCTCATATTATTAGTAAAAATAAACAATGAATTCTTTTATATGCTGCTGCATATAATTCACTGTTATGAATTATAAAATGGTTAGTAAATACAAGTTTCCTTGTACGTATTGTGAAGCTTATTTTACAGTTTTGAACCTGTAGCAAATTATGAGGCTTCAAGGCAATAAAATTTGCTTGGTTATAATACTATGTATGATATATATGTAAAATCTGTTACTATAAAGGAATTATTTTCTCAGAGAACATTTTCTCTCAAGATCCTTTTCTTAAATTATACTTGTTTGATTTCGCTCTCTGATTCTATAAAGTTTGCCAAAATGAAAGAGAATGCAATTGAACACTTGGCTTTGACTATTCAAAATACTGACTTGTAGAATGGTGCCAACATTCACCTGGAAGCCTTGGAAGGAGGGGAGCAGTCCTTCCTGCATTTGTTTCTGAGGAATTATCCAAAGTGAAGTATTAAGTTTTCATTATCTTGATGCTGATACCAAACAGCAGAGTTCTGTCTACTAAGCTGTTCCAGCTAATCCTGCATTGGTCAATGTCACTAGATCTTAATACAGTTTTAGAGGATAAACTCAAGGCACTGGGTTTTTTCTCAGCTGACGATAAGCAAATGTAAGGTTACAAGAATTAGTGTCTTCATTCTTTGTTTTCTGATTTTCAAAAATGTGTTTGGCTGATTTCATACTGTCCACAACAAATTTTCTCATTTCTAATTCACAGGGGGTTTTATCATTATATGTTGTTGGGCATTTTTATTCCAAAACTATGTGCAAGTACATCTGTACTTCCTCAGTGTACTTCTGTACATCTGTACTTCTCAGTGTTGAGGAAGTGGCAGAATCCAAAGATTTAGGGGTAAGATGGACAGGGGAGAAAGAGCTGCGGTTGGTGTCATGTGTTGCTAAGAAATTAGGCTTTTGGTCTCCCTCAGTAAGCTGACCTGCACCCTACCAGTGCAGTCTGGATACAGATTTTTTTCTTGTGTTAATGAACAGTTACTATTGCCCAATTATGCCTGCCCTGTCAACTGGGGAAGGAAGCCTTTAACAAAACTGTTAAAACACTGAGAGATGCTGGTTTGATATAAATTATAACTCTTTATAACAGAGGTATGGTTTTTTGACAATTTTGAGCATTTTGGAAAAGGGGTCTTGAAATTGATATTTCTTTTGAGATAAATGCCAATTAAGGTAGTGCATTTTTAATTACCAGTATATCAAATAGTTAAAAATGTCTCCTTTACAGAACATCAGAGTGTTTTGTTTTTACCTCTAGCTGTGAAATGAATACAGGTTAGCTAGTTAAAAGCGGAATACATCTATTCTAAGAAGAATACTACTTGTGCAATATTTGTTATTATTTGTGGAGGCAACGTTTGCACTGTCTGTGTTCTCAAAGATTGCTTAAAATTTAACAAATATATAGTGTTGTGGCGTATGGAAGGCAAGAGTCTCTTTGGGACTGTTGAATAATACAGGAAGATGTTCCTTAAGTTAATAACAATGGAAGACAGCATGCTGAAGAAACAAAGACAATTCTTCTAGTCAAATACTTGCACTACTAGGCATCTGTTACAGCTACACTCAAAACATGTGTAAAGACAAAGCTAAAAGTGCACAGGTAGCATTAAAGAAATGAGAAGTATTACTGTAAAAGCTACAATGCAGTTTTATTTTTTCTCCTGTGGGACATGTGTATTGAGGTGTTGCATTTCTTTTTTTAATACGAGAAGACTTTGGTGGAATAGACATCCGTTTTCTTTACTTTTGTTCTCTCTGTGATTATTACTTTTCCTCATGAAAGATATCTGACAAGGCCAGTTTTTCTTTTCTGGCTTCAAATGACTGTATGTGTTTCTATATCAGTGTCAGGTATTCTTGGTGGTTGTGACCAGAGTATTTTAATGATTGCATTGTCTGGAAGACTTGTTCATGTTCTGTCACTCTTTTTTTTTATGGAATTACACAATAATTTGGGTTGAATGGGGCCTCTGGAGCATGTCTGGCCCAAGCCCTGCTCCCTTGCTGCATATGTATGTATGGAGGTATGGTAGGACTCTTGGAGCTCTCTGGATGATGTGGAGCTTCCTGCCTTTTTGATCTTCTGTCATTTCCATCTAAGATTTTTCTATCGTCTATTAACTGTCAGTTTTCTATTATTTTTGACCTTCTAGAACCCTGCCTTAGGAACACTTCTAAAAATACAGCATTTCAAATACCTGCCATCTTACTCCTGCAGTCATTAGAAATAACTTATATGTGCACTTGGGATTTATTTGGGAAGTGTCTTGTGTGTCTTAAAAGGAGTTTTGCATTATGTCAGGTTACATACAGTTGTAAAATCTTAGCTTTTCCAATTTTGTGTCTTCATAGGCCAGAAGCAAAATTTGGATGAAGTGAACTAACCAAGTTGCCGTCATGAGCAGGAGCAAGCGTGACAACAATTTCTACAGTGTTGAAATTGGAGACTCAACTTTCACCGTATTGAAACGGTATCAGAATTTGAAACCAATAGGATCAGGAGCACAAGGGATAGTATGGTAGGTAAATTTAAGTGTCATCTTTAGGTTTCCTTGACTTAGTTTTTTGAGGTGTTATATGTTACAGAGCCAGGAGTGTGGAGAATTACCTTTTACAGGCAAAACAGCAATGGTAACTGGTGACCATTTTTCCTCAGGGAGGGCTTGCTGTTGCTTTTTGACCTGTTCAACTTTAGAGTTGATGCCCTTCTGTGCAAATTCAGCCAATTGTGCTGAGTCCTGTAAATTAATGGGGGAAATAGAAATTGGATAAAGAAACTAATCCTAATCCTAAACCACACTGCTTGCAGTGAAACAAAAGCCAGAAAAAAAATACCCTATAATACTTGCTGCTTGTAAATGTTCCCACTACTTGAAATGGCTTATTAGGAGTCTGTTTCACAATCTGAGTAGTCCTTGATACCAATGAGTGAGCATTTGGGATGCTGGCTGTCACATGGAAGTGCCTGATGCAGTTTGGGAAAGTATGATCTGACAGTGTCATTCTTTGAGTAAGAGCTCTGCTGTGTGGAGTGAAAAGTGTCCAGTTGATTTAAGTTGTTGACAGCTAGCTGCTTGTAGGCACTGTTTCCTGTGCAGTGGCATTGCCTCAAAGAGAAATGTTGGCTTAACCTTCCTGGAAGCTTTTCTGAATGTTTGAGAAGGATGTAAATATCACAGGACCTTGCCGATTTTTCAGTTTATTGTAATTCTTAAGATGTTAATCAGGTACATAAAAATGTAAGAGCATCAAGGAAGAGAAAGTTAGGGGAGAGTGTAATCTCAAATCTGTCACCTCTTTACTACCTTGATCTTGTTCTTGATCAGTGTAAAGAGAATACGTAGTATAGGTGGGTTTTTAATTCATGATTGTGTTTTAGCAGGATTAATAAAACAGTGTAATAAGTGCAAATGGAAATTTGAAGAAAGAACGCTAGAAGGAGTTGTTTTTGAAATGGTAACTTCTGGCATTAAGATTACTGGTATTAACTAGCAGCAACAGAATAACTGATCTGAATTTTGTTTGCATGTGTGTTAACGTACTGAGGAAGTAGACAGTTGCCTGACTAGTTTGTTTAGTTGCTATATAAATGCCAATAAAAGATTTAGCTGTTATTACTGTCCTTCTGATGGCCAGTTATATGTTAACTACTGCCTGTTTTGCAAATTTATTGCCCTTCCTAGAGTGGAGATCCCAAAACTGACCATGTAATTACTTTAGGGCCATTCTGTAATTGCTGCTAGTGATGTAATTGAAGCCTTTTTAGTTAAATCACAGCTCACCCTGATGAGGACTGTGGTTAAATCTTGCTCATGTGTCTCTATACAGTGCAATTCTTTGGAGTTTTTGTTGTCAGTGGTCATGGTTTGTACTTCTTTCTTTTTTTTTTGTTGCTGTTGTAACTGATCCAACTTGATTTGGAGGAATGTTAAGTAGATGGCCTGATACTGAAACAGGCTCTAGGCTGCTATTGCATACAGGGAATGCAGAAGTTTAAATACTAGAACAGCAGTCCCGTGTTGGCTGCCTTTCATAAAATAATCCTTATCTTTGGGGCAGGTGGAGGAATTCTAGTTATAGTTGAAAATGTACATAAAAGACAGTTACTAGTACATGTTGTTCCCATTTTTTTTCTTTAGTAGTGTCTAGAGGTTTTGTTGATGATAAATTAGAAATCATTCTAACCTATACACTACATAGACAATCCACTTCTTAAAGTAGTGAGTTGGATTTAATAGATCCTACTGTTTACTGGCAGATATTCTTCATTAGATTGGAGTACCATTCTTGACAAGAGACAAGAAAATAATATTTTCTCTGCTGATACTTTTTTAGTAACTGATAAATATTTCCTGAGTCTGCATGGCAGTCATCTGTTGTATTACCTCTTACAGGAAAAACAAGCCATGCCTTCCTGTTCTGGAAATGTGATATGTAAGGGAGTTGTCTCCAATAACAGTCTTCATCAGTTAAGCAGCCTGTGTCACTGAATCGTATGACAATGTTGGCATTAGTCTGCAAACAAAATGTTATGGTTTTTTTTTTCACCAAATTAAAGTCGGTGACATCTAGAGGTTAAAGCTTTCTTAACATTTTTTTTGTCTTGACTTTGATGCTGTCATTGTCATCAGGATATTAAGCAACTACATAATTGAAAGCATGGGACCTTTATATAATCTACTTTTCCTGCCTTCTCCCTGTTAGTGTGAAAATTTTATGTAAAATTGATGTGCTTTTTATGTTTGAAGTGTTTTGGATCTTTTGTAATGGTCTGTACTTGAGTGCCAGTGAGTGGCAAGAACTCAGTATCTTTGGAAGCAGAAATACTGCGTTATATTGTAGGGATTGTCATGTGTTAATGCTTTGAGGCTGGGAAATATTTTTAAATTTTGAATCACTCAGCTTAGAAGAGCACTTTGCTATATCACATTCCTAAAGCTGGATAACACTGAAAATTTGGGGTTTCTGCAGACATAATACAAATTAGCTGAAAATGTTTGCGACTGCCACAGCTTAAAGGACCTTAACACTGGAGATGTAATGATGTTATTTGTAATTACAGTGCAGCTTATGACGCCATCCTTGAGAGGAATGTTGCAATCAAGAAGTTAAGCCGACCGTTTCAGAACCAAACCCACGCTAAAAGAGCCTACAGAGAGCTTGTTCTTATGAAGTGCGTTAATCACAAAAATGTGAGTGCAGTGTCCTCCTTCAGATGTTGAAGAATTAACTGCAAGGTTATCCTTTGAAAAAGTCTGGAAAGTGACTTCAGAGGAGATTTCCATTGCATAGTTGTATCCCCAAAGGGTTTTGCAGAAGAGCTGTTATTGACTAGTTTTAATACCTGCCCAATCTTTAAATAGCCCCTTCAAACTCAGCAAGGGACTCAGTGTTATGTTGCTAAAATTTACAAGCAGCTGTCAAATGAGAGTACCATGGCTGGTAAGTGCATCCTGCTGCTAGACACATAGAAGAAAAAATAAATTTTATGTAAAAATAAAAATAATACTTTTTTTTTCCCCCTGGTGTATGAATGAGTTTAGAATCTTATATTGTGACCGCAGTAGCTGTCCAGTATTTATGAAGCTGTGCAGTAGACAAGATCATAGAAATGGGAAGCAAATAAGTGATAAATTTATTGGAGTTGAAATGCAGAAGGCTGATGTTGGCCATTTTCTTCCTTCAGAGTCAGATGTATGCAGTCTTCTTTACCTTCTCTTTTAATCCCCTATCAGGAGGATAAAATTTCTCCTGGCTGCTAGGGAGGAAGAGTGTCAGGAAACTTACTCTGTCTTAGAGCTTTTTGGGAAAACTTTGTAATTTTTCTCACATGGGTGGTTTATACATGGATTCACTGAAGGATGTTCCACCTAATAGCATAATTTGTATGATGATAAACTATTGAAAGCCTGCCTGGTTCCTCATGAGCTTGGCCTCTTTCTGTACATCCCATCCGTTCTTAATGCGAAATGTCCTAAAGTAAGAACCTGTTTTTCTGTTTGGATGAAGTTGTTTCTTCACCTCTGTCAGTGGCAAAGTATCTTTTAGGGAGTCTTCATCAGGTTTTAATTCTATTATTCCTCATGAAAAAAAAAAAAAAGGTCTTCAAACTGAAAGTAGGAAGAAGGGCAAGCATGACAAAGCTACTTAGGTTTTAGGATTTGAATATCATCTTGCTAACATGCCGAGTGTCCTTGGATTATGTGATTTGTGGAGGAAAAATACTCTTCTCAAAATCATTTGGATCTGTTTAGATCATGTTAGACCAGGTTGGGCTACTGAGCATCTTAAGCTTCAGTGTATAACAAGAGGTTCATAGCAGAATGATAGTTAGCAGTTTTGAAGTGTTGACTCTGCAACTTTGTTATTGCTGTGGTACAATTACCCTTCCTCTCCCCCTCCCTGCAGATAATCGGCCTACTGAATGTGTTCACACCTCAAAAATCCCTGGAAGAATTTCAAGATGTGTAAGTCAGATTTGAGCTAAAGCTGAGAATTTATTTTATGAAAAGGTGATCAAGAGAGAGAATACAGTAAAATGGCAGCATTATCTGATTATTCTTTTTTTTCGTTGTAAGCTACATAGTGATGGAGCTCATGGATGCAAATCTCTGCCAAGTGATTCAGATGGAGCTGGACCATGAACGAATGTCCTATCTTCTTTATCAAATGCTGTGTGGTATCAAACATCTTCATTCAGCTGGGATTATTCATAGGGTAAGTGAACTGAAATGTATAATTTGCATTGCACCTGGTTTTATCTTGAGTATTTAAAAGACAAAAAAAGTTAGAAATAGGACCATGAAGGGTGTTTCATAGCCTGTCCCATAGGCAGGGAGAGAAAGCTGAAGGGAAATCATGGCACCTTTATCCAGGGTAATTTTGGAATGAGCCTTTTGAATGTTTAAATGATTTGATAATGATCTGCACAGAGCAAACTGAAGTTTTTTGCAGTGAGTTGCATTACCTCCTCTAATTCTGTATAACGTTCTACTAAAGTAGTCATGGCAGGAAAGGATATCTGGAAGTGTCTCTGCCTTTATTGTTTTGGTAACCAAACCTGAAATCCCATTTTTGGAAATAACTGCCTATTTTATTTCTTCTCTGTTACTAGCGGAGTAATGAATAACTATCTGAAATTTCCAGATAAGATGGTGATGATAAAGACTTGTAATTGGAACTGGGATAACACCTGTGTGTCACAAATCATTCACTCAGATGGTTAACAGGCAAAACTGACTACAGTTTTTTAAATGGCATGTGTGTGTTGCAATCTAGTAAAAAATTTTGAATTTAAGGTTGCCTGTTCAAGTGAGTATCTCGTATGTAATGATATATAGATTAAAAATTGTTTGAGATTGTCTGGTTATAACTTCTTGTGCGCTGCCACAGGAATTGCTATGTTAAGATGCTTGTCCAGGTCAGTGGTCCACCACATTGTGACTAGGGTATTGAATGGTCTGCAAGCTAGATCTGCAGTCTGACACTTCTGTTCAGTGTGCCGTCTTTTACCCAGGGAAACAGGGACAATTATTTGAATGGAAAATACAGCTTGAATGGGCAAATGCTGCTTCCTTTTGCTCACATAGTTCTAGGACTCATCAGCTGCTTCATTCCAGTGAGGAGCTCAGGGAATGAAGGTGATGAAACCTTCCTTCTTGCATGCAATTTCATTGAACTGATGTGTTGGAAGAGATGGGCAAGAGAGGGAGAAGCATTACCTGCAACTAGGCATTGTACCTGATGCTGCTTGGTCTGCTTGTGGCCATTTGAGATAGGTCACTTGGGCCTTTTGCATTGTTATGGGAATGCTCAGCAAAACTAGGTTGTTCCACTTACTGTTGTGGTACTCTGTTGCCTGACAATAGGCAGCCCGTGGTGTTCTAATGTATGTGCTTGTGGGTCTGAAATAATGGTTTACACGTGGTTTCACGTTTCCTCTTCAATATTTATGTATGCAGGTTTAATGCTGTGGATTTTCCTAGGTCTTTTTTAGTTTTGGAAAACAGTGTATTGTCTGTATATGCTAGAGTAGGTAAAGTAAGAATGTCTCTCTGTGGATCCCTTAAGCACAGGCTTAAGGGAGCTTTTAAAAGTGTGCTTGCCTCAGGGTGGTTTGTACTCCTCTGAAGTAGGCATTGATCCTGTAGAAGTTGTGGGTAAATTTAAACATTTTTACATTTATAGAAAAGAAGTATCTACTTAGGTAGTTGGGCAAGAGTAAAGACAGCTTTGAGGGTAGAATTCCTGGCTCTGTAAATATGGGTTAAGTCTTTGAAATGCTTCCTATCATACAGGGATAAACTATCCTAAGGAAACTAAATACAATTGCTATGTAAATAGCACCATATGTATGCATGAATGCTTTTAAAGGACATGTGCAAATGCTTTTGAAGGACATTTCACTTGTGTGTCTTCCTGGTAGATTTTCAGCTGGCTTCTTCTTAGACTTTGTTAGAAGACTGAAGATATTCAGGCGCAGCATTACCTGCTGAGTGCATTGTGCCTTTTTGCGTCAAGATGCAAAGTGTCAAAGTTTTGTTTCCCTGTGGAGGAAGCTGGGCAAAACCTTGGCATACAAGGAAGATATCGTGCAAAGGGGCATGTGTCACACAGACCGTGTGGCTGCAGTGGTAACTCTTCGTAGCATTCTTCTGGGCTCTCAGCACCAGTCCTTAATGTCCAAAGCTAATTACTTTACTGAAACGTATTAAACATAGCCTGCACTACTGTGGCTGCCCAAGGAGCTATGAATTCTGGCTATATCTAATGACCTACTTCAGTCATCTCTAAAGCTTTAAGCTTTTTTTGGTTTTGGTAGTTTCACATGTTTTTTAACTGGGTTCTTCAGCTTCTAATATAGTGGTAATACTGTGGTAATCACAGTAACTTTTTCAAAGCTTGTTGAATGACTGAAATCATGAAAATCTGTATATGTGCCTTATAGCACTGGATACTACTTATCATAGAAATAAGGGTTTTTTTTTTTTTTTAATATCAGGCTAGAGGCATGGAACAAGGCAGAGATCAAACACAAAGAGTTTCATTCAACTTCACCTTGAAGTTGTAGGGGCAAACTTAGTTGCCATATCAATGGGTAAAGATTTGACCATAACTTTGCACTGACTTTAACAGATGTTGCCCAGTCAACATTACTGTGTTCCAAGCATTTTGCAGAGAAGCAATTTCCAGCCAATATAGAAGTACACATTCATTTATATTTCACAGTCTGAGGATGAATGATCAGCATTGCAGAGTTGTGCCTCACTGGCTTTCTGAGGAACACAGAGTGGCTCATTAGTCTTGCATGGAGGCTCTGAAACACTGAATTCTGCCCAATTTTGAGTACTTAACAAGGGGCCTAATTATGGAAGCCCTTCACAAATCTTCTGTTAGAAAGAGAAAGCCCCAAGAAGCCATGAATTACCCTCCAGAGATGTCCCTGTCTCCTTGTCTGGCTAATGGGGAGATGGCCGTGCAAGAATCTGTGTCTTAAGCACTGACATTTTACATTTTCAGGGTTCAGTGGGAGATTTTCTGCTATAGGTTCTGGTTATATTTATCCATCCTAATTAATTTTATCACTCCCAAAAGAGCTTTTGAGTTTCTGTTTATTTAACAGAAGATATATATATATATATAAGAGATGCAGGTTTTGCATCTCTGCATGAATTTTAATGCAGTGTAAGTCAATTCATCATTTTGATCCTAGGCTTCATGACAGCTACATGGTGTTCAGAAATAAGAGATCTTCTCTTTGCTTACCAAATGCTGTCCATTCTTAACATTTTGAGTGTTAATCCTGCAGCTTTGGGGAGGATGAGTGTAGTTAATATCCTGAGCATGCGCCTGGCATTCTGCAATGAACATCCTGAAAATAATAAGTGTGTAGAAATAAAGCTGGTAATAAAAAGGACTGTAGCAGAATCTGAAACATGCATATTAAATTGCCAGAAGGCCTTATAGAACTGAAATTCATTTGTGGTATTTGAGAATGTTTTAAGCTAAAGTTGTCTACAGAGTCTTTGTGAGGAAATGCATGTGTGAATATGTATGTATGCAAGACTTTTAGTTAGTCATTAAAATTCTGTTGTTCTGGAACTATTTTTGTTGTTTCCTCTCGATCTTTAATGCAGTTATCTTAGCATTATCAGGAGATTGCTGAAAGCCATCCAAGTACAAATGAAAACTACATAAATCTGGCAGAAATCCACCTTTAAGTCTTTAAGAAACAAAGACAGATATGGCTACTTATCAAGTCATTACTGCTCAAGTGCTGGAGTCCTCTGTCACATCTCAGGTTTTTCTCTCATTAATCTCAGTAGAGTGTGTGTAGGAAGTATCTTAGTCTTATCTGTGTTGTCCCATGTGCTGTGAATGATTTTATGATTGGAAAGTTATTCTGAAGTTGCTCTGTAATATTTACTCTGTGACATTCAGGTGTGTGTAAGATCCTGCTGAGGTGATGACAGAGAAAGCCTGTGCAGTGTTCGTATAAATAAATGTTGTAAAGGCACTATTGTCAGTAGGATTCAATGTAGAGAATAGTTGCCATGTTGCTAACCAAAATGATCTGAAGCCATGTCAGCATTTTCCACTCCAGTTTAAGGATTGTGTTAATTTTTGGCAGTTTTTCAATGGTGCCTTTTTGGGTTTGGTTGCCAAACTTAGTATAAAACCAAGTCATAAATTTGAAACTAAAACCATGTGGGCATGGAGATTTCTGTTCAGAGAAATATATTGATTCAAAAGAGGTAATGTAACCTCAACTAGCAAATGAACCTTTTACATTCATTATAATTCTAATAATTCTTGTATCAAGATGATTATTGAATCAAGTAATTGTCATGTTACTTGTGTTCTATATTGTAGTAATAATTATTGTTCCAGTGAGCAGTTTCTAGATCTTTCCTGAGAGCTAACACTTCTTACTAACCTCAATTTATTTCAGACATTGCTAACATATCTTGTAATGCTGGTTTTATTTTCCTTCTTTAATTGCTATATAAATCTACAAGCACAATAAAGGAATTAATTCTGTAATCTGCTGAATGCACATTAATGCAAGGGGAAAAAAGCTGCAGTTATAGCAATAACGTAGTTGTGTGCATGGGATTTAATGTTAGCAATATTATCTTTTTAAAATGTGAACCACAGGCTACTTTGTGCTTGTCTTAGCAGTCATATATGGTGTTTCTTTTTAAAGGATTTAAAGCCCAGTAATATAGTAGTAAAGTCAGACTGCACTTTGAAGATTCTTGACTTTGGACTGGCCAGAACTGCAGGAACTAGTTTTATGATGACGCCTTATGTAGTGACTCGTTACTACAGAGCACCAGAGGTCATCCTAGGGATGGGATACAAAGAAAACGGTCAGCAAATATAGTCTTTCTTTGGCATAGCTTTATTTTTTTTTGTTTGGCGCACCACATTTTACATGTTAATGTTTTTTTCAAGATGTAGAAATTGTATAAATTAGTCTTGTGACCAAAATGCAGATTCTGGATACACCAATTTGTTTATTCAACTCAACCCATTAGAATTAGTTTGCATTTAATAGGAGAAGAAATTGAGGGCCTTGTTTGTTTAAAAATTTAAATAACATCCTTGGTAGATTATATGACATCCAGGAAGAACTGGATGTATATTTTCTTAATATGCAGTATGTACTTTGATGTACCTTCATCTGACTTTATTTCTGGTGAAGAAGAAATTGTAATTCTTCAGTAGATATGTGTACTAAATTCGATGCTAAATAAATGTATTGGGTATGGCCTTTCAGGAGACAGGGAGCATAAAGTCTACTGAGGAACAAACAAGTTAAGATTACCTACTGTGGCATTGCTTTTTTATTAAAACCAGCCTCCTTTGAGCCTTTTGCACTAGGTTCTTAATGTTGCTGAAGTAAAACTCAATAATATACTTGAGAGAAGCATACAGAGAAAACTGTCAAGATGACAGTACATGCATCATAGATTCTTGAGGTCCATGACAAATTCCAAGGGAATTTGCATGCACTTCCTCCTGACCATACTCGCTCTGTGACCAGTCTGCCTCTCAGTATCTTCTACAGGAAAATAAAAAAAAGATCTGTCATTTGAGAGAAACACATCATCATATACATTGCACCTGCAAGGAAACAGCTAGCAGTACCCATTAAGAGAACCAGGTGTGGTGTCATTCCTGACACTCCATTGGAGTGGCCTGATCCTGCTGCTGTTTCACTGCTGTGCTGTCCCCGTGCTCAGGCAGCTCCTTGCTTTCCCTTGTCAGCCCTCAGGCTGGCAGTGCCCACAGGTCACTCTGTGTGTTTCAAACTCTGCTGGCCAGGCCTCTAGGGAGGCCCTGAGCTGTCTCCTGGGGATGTGATGTGTGGCTCCTCACCTCCTGGCACAACTGGGGCTTGCTCTGCCTTTCAGCATTCCTAATACAGTCTGCAGACCTGCCTGGCAACTGCATACCATTGCAGCCAGTGACTTCAGGCTGTGTGTGAATGGTGCTAGCAATGAAAGAAGCCAACTCAGAGGAATGAGAGTGGATCTCTGTTGCAAGACTGAGATATTTATTTGTTTAGATTGTTAGTGTGCATGAGAGAACCTACATTTCTTCAAATGTCCTCCATGATTGACTGTTTTTCCTGTAATTTATGAGTCACAGGCTGAGTACAGCAAGTTAGTTATTTAATTCCTAACGTTTTTTAGATTTGCAAATTTAATTTTGTCTTTTCTTCCCCCAAAACTTTATATTGGCTATTTAAGGGACATTAAGGAAAAGTACCTAAAGCTGTAGTAGTGAGTCATGCAGCTGCCTTACAGAAGGAATTGATGAAGTCAGAACTTTTCTAACTCAGCTTGCCCAGTTTAAATTCTTCTATTAAATAATAAGTAATTTTGGGTTGCAAAAGTGTGAAACGTTCTGTCCACTGCTGGGCTTAGATAGATTGTGTTCTAGAGTAACCTGTCAAGCTTGTGACAATCCTGTTCCTTACAGAAGCGTGAGTTGTGTTGTGTATCATAAGTAATAATTTACTTTCATTTGAAAAGCTATCATGTCTTCACAAAGCCAAATACATGGTGACTGAAATGAGAGTGGCACTTCTGGAGAATGTAAATGTATGGAGTGAGTCCAAAGACAGTTGCATTTCCATACGTAGTGCTCTCATTAAAAGGCAGTTTATGTGAGCTCAAGTCTTCTCTGCCAAGGAGTTTGTGGAGCTGCCATGACAGGGACATGGGTATCAAGGATGCACTTACAGTAAGAGCCATGGGCTCTCCAGGAGCCTCACCAGTTAGTATTGATGCCTGTTGTAGCCCATCACACCCAAAGTTAAACTCACTGTGAACTTATTTAGTGTGGAGTTAAATACTGAAAATTGACAGTTTTGTAATGGTTACATGGTTGTCTGGTAGTTTCCTGCAGTTTGTGCCCTGCTGAACTTGTGGGAGGATTGCAATATATATTTTGATGACTGAGATAATGTACTGCAGGGTAACATTTTTTTGGTGCTATACTACACAGACACAAAATCTTTAATTGTTTTAAAAACTAGGGAGCCCAAACAAATACATAGAGTTAACTTTTATGTAGGGTTTGTTACCGAAGGATGTTTGGGAGTGTCACATTAAGAAGCCAACTAAAGAATTTCTCATGCACATGCTCCTTAACAGATTTATGCACTGTTATGTCCATGATTATCAGGTAGGCAACATTGAAAAACAAGGAAAGCCCTAAACACTATGAAACAACTACTTTTACATTTCCTACTAGGTAGATTTGGTTTAAACTTCATTTTCACATGGTATTTTTTCTCCTAGAATTACAAAAATCAGTAAGTTCACAGGCTTAGGAATAAAATAGACTCCTTATGACAGCAATAGATTTTTAAAAAATATTTTTCAAATCTGTAATGAGATTTTTGTCTTCTGAAAAAGTATTCACAGTAGCGTTGGTTCAGTTTGCTACAAAAGTTAGAGACCTGTAGTTAGGTTTTTGTTTGATTTGTTGAAAGCAGCAAATCAAAACACCACAAAACATCTCAAATTTGGTTTTGTAGGGATACCAGAAGAATGGTAACTTTATCATGTTGGACACAAGCTAATTACAAGAGATTTGAGTGTATTTTGGGTTGGGATGGCAGCAGGTTGTTTGCAGATCAAAAAGTCAACATTCAGAATTTTATTTAAAAAGTCAAAGGCAAAACTTGGCTTCTTTGGGTCTCTAAGCCAAATAATATGTACTTAAGTATTTGAAAAAAAGTTTTTAAAGGAAAAAGAGCACTAAACTAAGGTGTTGACCATATTTTTTTAAATGAGCAAGGCCCTTAATTTTGACCTATTAATATGCACAACTATGATCTCCTATCATATTATCTAGATACTATTTTAGAGGAACTTTAATAAATAAAGGAGAAGGAATATTGAAAAATAAGAAGCAATATTGTTTGCTTGACATTGTTGAGCTCCTTCAGAACATTTACATGTAATTATCACTATACTATTGTTGTCACTTAAATCCCCCTGTTATCTTCTTAATTGAAATTCCAGTGTCATATTTGACATAAAAGTATTTATAATGTTAAAATTTCATTGTTATGACTTCAAGAAAACTTTTGCATATGGAATTAACAATACTTCTGAAAGTAACGGCAAAAAAAATTGGCTTACCTGTAAAAAGTAAACTTGTGCATCTTTGTCTTCTGAGTGATTTATTTTAAGGTAATGTAGAAAATGCATATTTCATTTTTTAAAAATTGCTTTTAAGTTTTTCTTTTGTATAAAGTGTTATTTCAGCGTAACTGGAGACATATTTTAAAACAAATTATTTGAACTGAAAATCTAGGAGCATACTAACATTGTCATTAACTGATCCTCTAAAATTCTAAGTGATCTTTTACTGATTCTGTTTGCTTTTTATTTAAAGCGAGAGAGAGATGCATGGTAATGACTTCTAGGAAATACTTGATGTCAAGTTGTAATTGCTATGTAATTATCTTAAAAAGCTTGTTTCAATAGGCAGTATTTTTGCAGTCAGTTTACTTAGTTACTTTTAGATTTATTCCTACAATTACATTTGAATTACTTTGAAGGAATCAATCTGTCATTGGTGCTTGAATCTATTCCCTTGGTAGAGGTAACTTGGAAGCCTCCTGCCTTGGAGAAGTGCTTTACTGTGCTTGATCCGTGTCTCTCTCTCTCTGCTCAAGCTCTTGCTCTAGCACTATATTAAACAAAAGGATGTTTTTCTGCCTTGTATTTGAGACAGTTAAAAGCTAATCCTTACACATGGTGTATGTTAAACTGTTTTCATTGGTTAATACAAAGACTTGCTCTTCTTCCTGTGCTGTCTCTGCAGTTTATAGGATGCAGTCATGTTATGCTTCTTTTAATTTTAAATGACCGTTTGCTTTGCTTTTCCTTCTTTTTGTGCTACAAACATAGTGGATTTATGGTCTGTGGGGTGCATTATGGGCGAAATGGTTTGCCACAAAATCCTCTTTCCAGGAAGGGACTGTATCCTTGTGCTGCTGCAGCAGGTTGAATTAGTTAGGAAGTGATTAACCTTCTTATTGATGTTGTGTCATGAAGATGCATATTGTACAAGTTTTTGTTTTTTTTTATTAAATGAATATGGATTTTTCTTGTGATACACTTAAAAAAAAAATCATTTATATTCAGGCTGCACCTAGCAGTAGGACATAGTCTCTGCTGGTCCTGTAGTTAGCATACATTCACCTTCACTCATTTTCATTGCACATGCTTTTTATAGTCACTTCATGTGTATGTGTGTGTCTGGATATTTTTATTTATTTTATTTTAATAACTATCTTTTATGTTAATATCATTGCATTTTGTTTTCAGTTGACATTTGGTCAGTTGGGTGCATCATGGGAGAAATGATCAAAGGTGGTGTTTTATTTCCTGGTACAGATCGTATCCTTACCCTTGGCCTGGGATGTAGTTGTAAAAGGTCAAAAGATACTGCAGTGATACAATTCCAGATTAAGGTGGTTCTAATTTTTAAAATACTGGTTTTAGACTACCTTTTCAAATATCAGTTTGCAAGTTCATTGCATACCACTTGGGCAAACAGACTTATTTTCTTCTTTTTCCTTTTTTCCCCCTCTTCTTTTCTTTTTCCAGTGTAATATAGTCCCTCTCCATTACTTTTGAATGTTGTCACACTTAAGGCAGACTTCCTTTTGTTTAGATGGTGTTTTCTTGGTTCATATGCATTGGGTTTTACTTTGGAATTCATTTTTATGTAGTAATTTACTAATCTTGTTTAGTGCCTGAGCGTGTTAGTAGTTACTATTCTTTGCATTTTATAGAGAATGTTTACCAAAATTCCTAACCATCTTCATTAGTTACACTCTGGAGATGTATTTTCTGTATGCAGAAATGATCCTGCAAGGAGCTTTCAGAAATACCTGGTATTTCTGTCTTTCTATTCCATTAATGGTTTGGTGGTGTTTATATGGGTTGTCCTGTGAACAGTATTTTAGACAAAGAGTCTGCTCCAAACAAACAGAACTAAAACCTCTAGATCTTTGCTAAAATTAGTGAAAATTATTGGACTTTGATGTGCTATTTGTTTTACTATTACTTACAGAAGATTTTTTTTTTTAGATGTCATCAGAAATGTTTCCTGCTTTTGGTACAGGTTACTGTTTAAAAATGGATGTATTACGATTTAGGGGTTAAAATGGGGTGGAGATTTTTGAGCCATGGTAAGGCATCCAGAGCATCCTTACTTTCACACAGCTCTGTCATTGCATGAGCTGCACCATGCTTTGCTTTATGCATCTGGTTTGCTGGCATGGCTTTTCAATTTAGACTTGGTGCCATACAACGTAAATACTTCCTTTTGTCAAGGCCTGTACTAAAGCTCAGCAGAGCTTGAGAATCATTATACAGAGATCTGATGTTGAGTTTTAAGCCTGTAAGAGAGGTTCTGCTTCAACCCACTGTTGATTTGGGTAGCCTGGTATTCGGTCTTCAATGGCAGCCAAAGAGAAAATGTTGGGGAGAATGTGAATTAGTGTATATAAAATTTTATCTGAGCTCTCCCCCAGTATTTAACCATCTGCAACTAGGAATTCTTGAGCCAAATTTTACTTTTTTTTGTTTCAGTAAAATGCATTAAATTCTTCTCCCCTGAAGTGGTCAGTCTCCCCTTTACAGTGTGTAAACTTCTCAGTTAAGATGTTCCTTATGCGTCCTTGAAACTCTTTAACTTCATTCAAGTCCCTGACAATATTGTCACTGACCTGTGTGGGCCAAGCCTTTGTCCTTGCTGTGCCCACTGGTGCTGAGTGTTGCACGTCCTTGGACTGGGCTGAGGTGCCAAGATGAGAACGAAGGACAAAGCACCTACTTGGGGTCATTCTCAGGAGTGCCTCGGTGACGTGTAGTGGCTTGACTGCTGCCAGTGTGTGTTCAGATCAGGGAGCGAGTTCTCCAGGACCCAGACAAGGATTTAAGTTAAATTTGTTGTATTTAAATATTTTGTGAGTCTTCTAATATTCTGTTTCTCAGAATTATATCCTTTTCTAGCCAGTAATAATTTTGAGTGAAATACATGTTGCCTTGACTACGCTATCATAGTCTTGCTTTGTTTCATCATGTAAGAAAGTAGTCCTAAATCATGATGATGAACTTGATACTTTATTATAATTTCCTCTGTTTTTTTCTGTTTGTTATTTCATGTAGTTTTAACATAACTTTGTAGCTGAAAAGTACAAAGTATTTTTCTTAGCTGTATAACCTTAGATATTGATCAATGGAATAAAGTTATAGAGCAGCTAGGAACACCATGTCCCGAATTTATGAAGAAATTACAGCCTACAGTCCGAACTTATGTGGAGAACAGACCTAAATATGCTGGATATAGTTTTGAAAAACTCTTTCCAGATGTCCTTTTCCCAGCTGACTCCGAACACAATAAACTTAAAGGTAAAGTCTGTCTTCTGTGTGTTGTATGTTTTAAAAGTTTTTAAACTGTGATATATTCAACAGAAATGTAGCTTAGTTTTGTTCACTATAGAATCATCCTGCTTGGGTTCTAAATATTTATATCATGAGAGTGGATGAATGTGCTGACATGCGTTTGCCTCCACTTTCATATCTTCATGAGACAGCTCCTATTCTTGGAGCTGTCTTTATAAAGACATGTCAATATCTATATTCCTCTTAATGACAGATGCCAACACAAGTTTAGAGAAAAGTGGGGGGAGGTTGGAATAGAAATCGTTTAGGCAGAGCCGATCTTCATTCTCTAGGGATGAGAATAAGGAATTTATGTTCATAATATATAGATACTTCAGTGATAATATGTAGTTACTTCAGTGACTTACTGGTTCTAAAGGCCACCTACTCAGTGGAGTCCCTCATGGTGTTCTCTGTGACTAAAAGCATGTGACAGAAAGGGGCAGTAGGTGCTTGCCTGTTGCTATTCGAGACAAGGCTGCATTGCCACCTGAGCTGTTTCACAAAAGGATGTCACAACAAGGGACACTGTATGCTGAAAATGGATAATGAAACATGCTTGACCCCTTTCCCACCTGTGTCATTCTCTTCAGGTTTTTTTGCCATCAAATGGACCACTCACCTAAACCTCATATTATGTGAGGGTTGCATAGACATTTAATTAGAACTTGATTACTCTGACCCTTCTCTTTAAAAGTTTGAAACACTGTGTTATGTGTTCTGTATATGGCAGTAATCTAAACAGAAAATTTTATTTTTGCAGCAAGTCAAGCAAGAGATTTGTTATCAAAAATGCTGGTTATAGATGCTTCTAAAAGAATCTCTGTGGATGAAGCCCTGCAGCACCCATACATCAATGTTTGGTATGATCCATCAGAAGCAGAAGCTGTAAGTTCTTGTTTTAGGTCTCTGCTTAGGAATCTGCTGTATGAAGCCATGTTGCTGTGATGCTTGGTACAACTGCTTGACAAAAGATTGTTTCACATTTCATTAGAAGCTTAACTGTGCCATAATTGTTTTTATTGACATTGATAGATGTGCTTATTAGAAAGAACATCAGGAGTGGGCTGAGGTACCTGTCCCTGTGTTCATGTATCTCTGTGTTGGTATATAATTGCCTATCATCTCCTGAATATGTAATCATGCATCTGAAATATTTTCTGTAGGGTTCTAATGTACTGAGCTTCAGTTGTTTCAGTGTGATTTGATTGCCCTTGATGGGGTTCTGAGGTATTTATTCTTGGGGAAGTGAAATGCTTTCATTAGTTGTGGGAATTGATACTATTCTTCAACTAGAAATAAGTGTTTCAGCAAAATCTGAATACAAAATATTGAACTTTCAGTTCCTAAAACTAATGAAAAAAGCGATTAATATAATTTTTTTCCTTGGGAAATTAGTTTCAGAATAATTTCAGCTTATGAGAAAAGTTATTTTTTTAAAAAGAAAAATTTGGTGATGGCCACTAAGAATAGAAAAAGCTACTTGATGTAGACAGATCAGTTATAATTCTGCTGCTCTGTAATGGCTAGATAGAAAATTTAGTAATTAGCAGTAGCTAAAAAGAGCTGCTTGTGCTGGACACTGCTGCACTTAGGAGCTCTTCTACCAGACTGGTTCTCTGTTAATTATTACAGTAATGTAAGCAAATTTGTTAATCAGAAGAACTTTAAAGACTGTGGTAGCATCTAAAAAACAGGCTAAGTCCAAGTATGAGTCGATATATAGTCATGTAAATATTATTTTTAAATCGGGTTCATGTTCTGAATGGTTACTTTCATTTTTAATTTATACTGGTTCTATATCCCTTTTGATTGCTCTATGATGAGTTAGTTTTCTTTTTCAGCCTCCACCAAAGATACCAGATAAGCAGTTAGATGAGAGGGAGCACACGATAGAAGAGTGGAAAGGTAAGAAAGGCGTTTAACCTATAATAAGCCTTTTGGGAGTATGCTGGGCCATGGTGATTATTGTTATTCAAGTTCTTCTGAGCAACCTAATAGTATTTACTTCATCTGCTTGGATGTCAGGGGAACAGACCAGTGCTGCACAGCCTCTCAATTGTTGGGACACAAACTTTTCCTGCAAAGGAGATGAACCTTTGGAGTGAACTAAAGACCTGCTCATCTCAGTCACCTTTTGCAGTCTACAGGACAACATTTGTAGGGAGGGTAACTCTTCTGGACAAGCTGCTACAGTTGAAAAAGATACAGGAGCTTGAGCTATGTTATGCTGACTTAGAAGGACAAGTCTTCAAGTGTTCCTAGCTCTTCCTTTGAAGACTGCTGATAGAGTTTCCCTTAACAAAGAAGTCATTGATAAAAACTGAGTGGGCCTTAGGACTCAGCTTGGCCTCAGGTCTCCAAGCAGCCTGAATAAAAGAGCCCAAGTGCGATGCCAGTGTGTTCTCAAAGAGTCCCAGGCCACTGTAGCTCCAACAGAAAAGAATGTACTTTTTTATATCACTTGCCAATTGTTGTGTAGCCTATAATCTGTGATTCAAAACTAATTCTGAACAGTAATAGTTCTATGAAATGTAGAGTGGACGTGATGTATTATTGATCTAGTCTTAGGGTTGCAAATTAATTTTTTTTCCTTCCCTTCTCTGCATTTTCAGAGTTGATATACAAGGAAGTCATGGACCTGGAGGAGAGAACCAAGAACGGGGTTATACGTGGCCAACCAGCCCCTTTAGGTTGGTTACAATAAAAGCACAGTACAAGGCTCCACTGAGTTTTAGGTCAGGAGAGAGTAAAGCTGATCAAGACATACAAATGTAACCTAACTCAAAAATAGGGCACTTTAACTGAGACATTGTATTTTTGAGTGGAATATTCAGGGCTGGCATCATTTTGTTGATCTGTTCAATCCCTATATCATTGTCCCTGTGTAATTGATATTTCATTTATTTCAGTTCCTGACACACCATCTGTTGTAAGCCCCACATTAAAGAGTTGTGTGTTTTATTTATTTTGACAGTGGATTGAGACACATCTCTTCAAACTTTCAAAGAAAAACAGGGAAAAGTAACAGCCATTAGGAGGAGACAGACTAATGCAAGTACTGAACTGTGCAACTGTATCTGCAACTGATTTGCTGTTTTGTTTCTCATAGCACAGGTGCAGCAGTGATCAATGGCTCTCAACACCCATCTTCATCGTCATCTATCAATGATGTGTCTTCAATGTCAACAGATCCAACATTGGCCTCTGATACAGACAGCAGTCTAGAAACCTCAGCTGGACCTCTGGGTTGCTGTAGATGACTACTTGGTCTTTTGGGGGGTGGGAGGGGGGTCCTTTTAGTCATTAATAGGGCACTTTTAAAAATTGGTGGTATTTTTGAGTGTTTTTTCAAAAATAATCATGGAGTTCATCATAAAGTGCTGTAATTTCAAACTGTAAGTTGTGTTATAAGCAGCCACTTTTGCTGTAATTAACTGTAAAATATTAAACCTGGTAATTTTTATTGTGGTTTTAAAATCTGCATATTTGCTTTACTATTATGCTGCTGATCTTTTTTTACTGAATTTGTAAGATTTGTTTTATCAAAGCACATATTAATGTTGTTCATTACCATATGATGAATTATTTAAGATTTTATAGGTTTTCAATTTTTTAATTAGAATTTATTCCAGATGTTTTGTTCATGATATCCTTCAAAGTTTTATGCTTGGTCATGCATCTGTGTCCAGGTGGAGGGGGAGAGAATTCAGTGCAGCCAGCTGTAGTTTCAGGCATACTACTGTGGTGCTGGGTAGTGAACAAAATCCTCTTTTATTCTGGCCACTTGCCTCTAGTACTTCAGCAAAAGCAACAATTAGTGAGGGGTTTTTTTTAGAGAAACAGAAAAAAACCTTTGCAAAGTAACAATATCTGAATGGGTTTATGAACTTAAGAAAGCAAAGCATATCTTCAAAGCTGCAGAAATATCCAGCCTAGCAGAGTAATGTGATATTTTCTGCAGAGTTGTGGCATGCCAAATCTTGTGATCACCATAAAACATGAGGATATTTCATGAATAATACATTGCAATGCCAATAAACTGTTTACTTCTAGCTCGTAGCCTGTTTTTGTACACACAAAATGAAGTGTATCCAGAATGTTTAGACTGACAAGAGGGAATATGAATATGCTGTAACTATACTTTCATGTGAGATGTGATTCTTGGGAATTCTGGTTCTTACTGGTTTTGTCTACTAAGGCAAGTGATTTTTGGGTCAAAGAGGGAATGACATGGATGCAGTAGGGGCAAAACTTCAGCTACTCTGTCTCCACCAAAAGTAACTGATTACTAAAAACCATGAAGTGGTAGGAGAACCTCAGGATTTCTGTAGCTAATGCATTAATTGAGCAATATATGCCATCCAAAGGGGGGAGAAGTAGTGCTGTATAAATTAATATTTATCTCTTTTATTTCACCATGAGATCAGTGTAGCAGAAATCTTAGCAGTGGTTCATTTTAAGTCATAAATATTCAGTAGTTTTCATCAACGAAGCTCCAGGTTTCAATACACTTTTTAAACAAAAGATATATTGAGATATATAGAACAGTTAATAAAAGTCATGTAAGATGGTGCTGCTCCTCACAGAAGTATTTTAACTGTTTACATTTTATATTTACAGAATGATTTATGTATAACTGACTTAAGTTTATGTATGAGTTAAACAATCATTCAGAATTTATTTCTTTGGAAAATGCAGATTTTTAGTGACGCTAGGCTGTATAATTGATTGCCTTGTGTAGATGCATATTTTGTGTAGTGAATTAGAATGTGAAGAGGAACTCAAATTAGTAAAGCTCACAAAAATGGGCATAAAAGATACAGAAGTCTTGCCAGGCGCTGAGCATAAGCAAATAATGTAACTGCCTGCAGAGGTCATCTAGGAGTGACTAGTGGTCTTCAGTGTGGTTCCTTCTGCTTGTTGGGTTAAATAAGCATATTTTTGAAGTTTTAACTGAAAGAGGAAAATTTGTCTTTGCAGTAAGTTTTAGAAAAACAAAAGTGATAGTAACGTCCAACATGTCTTTTTAAAAAACATGCAGGGTTGCAAGGAGTGGTAATGTCTGAAAGATAACTAAATTGATAAACTACACAGTTGTTTTCCTGGCCTGGCTAGACTGCTGGTAAGTGCTGTGTGCGTGTAATTTTGCTTTCCTCGCTTATATCTGATATTGCAATATTGCCTTCCTAAGCCACATTTGTTAAGGCAATTATTTTTGCAGGATCCTGCCAAATTGTATATTACCTCAGAACAGGCAGGACAAGTTTGGATTCATCTAGCACTGGAATGTAGAAAATGTTGAACAGAGACCAATGGAACAGTCTTTTTTGTAATTTTTTATCAAAGTTTAAGCTGTGAATCAAGCCAAAATTTTTGTTCAAACAAAAATACTCCTTTGTTATATAGGGTCAAGTGATGGTGTGGTCAGCACAGTGTAATGAAGTCAAGACAAAAGTAACTTCTGATGGCTCTCAGTGTTGTTAAAAATAAATTGGCAAATACAGTTTGTATTTAAATTTATTTTAGACCTCACTGGATTGCAGTGATGATTTAAATATTTTGAAACTTTAAAATATTTTTGCTATCACTTTCCAGTGTCCAAAATATATAGTAACTAAACTGAGCTCATATATGCTAAGGAGAATTGAGCTTTTCTTCTTTCAAGGCAAGGTCAGTGAATGTGTGGGACTGCCCAGTGCAGCCTGTTGCAGTGTGTGAGCAAGCTGTGCTTAAAGGTATTGCTTCAGTAGGGTCAGAGCTTTGTCTGTGGAAACCAAGAGTTCACTTTTGGCACCATCTTCACAGGAGTGTTGCTTTTTCTTTTTTTCAGTTGCTTTTATTTTAGGCAAATTAAGTGATGACAAATTTCAAAGACAAAATCATATCCAGTAATCAAATTATCACAACAGCATCCTGTTCTTAACTTCCCTTTTTATTTGTTGAAATATAAGCTTTTTTCAGATAGGTGTACACTGCCACAGATAGCAAGCAAATGGGTAACTGGAATTCAGCTGTTTTTGTCTATTGTTAGATTATATGCTGTACAATACACTGTACAATTTTAAAGTATTGTTAAGTTTTATTTTAGACTTTGATTTGGAATCTTCTCAAGACAACAGGCTTCACTCAAGTGCATGCAACTTTCTAAGGCCATTCCAATCCACTGGGAGTTGATATGGATTGAATTACCATGAGCTGTCTATCTTACTTCAGGTGAGGTTCAAAGCTGGGCAGTAATAGTGAGATTGAATTCTGCCTTCTCTGGGCCAAGCTGTGATATGCAGCAAGGGTAAAGCAGCACTCTCCTTCTGTAGAAGTAGGTTGTTCAAGAACTTGAAATAGAGATGGGGTGGGGGGGAATTAGTACGCTTAGAGTGTACTGGGGTGCTGTGCTGGGAAGTCTTTTGTTGGCGCAAGACAGTGCGGCAGAGCGGATGTGTAGCTGTGTGTGAGCAGCTGTGCTCCTCAAGCACAGCTGCCTGGTGGAACACGCTCAGCCTGGGTCAGTGCTCGGCTGAGCACACGTGGCACTGTGCCCTGGCCAAGCTTGGGCTTTTAGCTTTGAAGAACTTTTACTATGTGAGATGCAGCAGCATCTTTCTGGGCAGGAATTCCAGGTGAACATAGCATCAGTGGTGTGGTGGGAGTGCCCTGTGTCCCCAGCACAAGCTGTGCCAGTAGGGCCCTGCTGCCCAGGGCTGGTGGGGCCAGCACTGAGCACCTGGGCTGCACTGAGCACCTGGGCTGCAGCTCTGTAGGGAGGGATGGATGGATGGAGCATTCAGCAGTGCAGTGCATGAAGGAAAATGTCAACAACCTCCTACAGGAGGATGATCCTACCCAGCCAATAGTCGGAAGAGTATGACAGTAAATGTTGCTTGATAAAGATAATGGGCAAAAGGGGGGAAGAAGGTTCAGCTTATACTAGGTCTTACTTTTTCATGTTGTGAAAGGGAGTGAATTACAGTTTCTAGATCTGTTTTTATTTGCTTTTGGCAGCAGCTTGTCCATACTGTTACATTTTATTTTCCTGTCAGTGGTTTGGAGCAGTTGAAGGAGAGCCTGTCTGTATTTTTCAGCAGAATTAGAAAGAGGTTTTTATTGAAGCAGTGTGATAAGACTGTACTGCCTACCCAAATTTTCAATTAATTTAATTTATTCTTAGTTAAGGGCACTGGATAATAATACTTTAAGTGGTCTCTCTCACTCCCTTCCCTTTGTATGTCCGTGTTACAGATATGTGTGAAAAATCAGGTCACGTTGTGTTTCTATTTCTGCAGTTCAAAATTTAAGCTAGGTTTTCTTGAACTACCTCACACAAACTTTCTACGTTTCTTAAGCAAAGCTAACCCTTGCTATTGGAACTACACTGAATGTGAATAGAAAATACACCTCCTTTAGAAAAACAAACCTATTGGCCGATGTTGAGACAATATCAGTACGTTTCTTATCTATTTCACGTAAGATGTTCATGTGTAATATATAATATAGCCTGTGTACAGTAATGTACATCTAGATTATTGTGTTAGCTGTAAATTGGTGATTTATTATTGTAGTCTGGTTTTGTAGGGTAAAAATAGCTTACTAGTAATGTCAGCTCATCCTTTACATTTTACAAAAGGAATAATTCTTGGTAAGCTTTGCATACAGATGAATTACTTTTGTAGGCCCAATATCTAGTCTATTTTTGAGAGTTCTTTAACTTTTATTACTAAAGTTGAGAAAAAAAATCCCACCCCAATTATTGTGATCATTCCTTCTGCCCTTCTTGAAGTATGTTCTTAATTTTATTATGTCCCAAGAAATACGAAGGGGAAGATACACCATTAAAAATACTGGGGAAAACTAATTTTTTTTTCTTCCCCACATTTGATACCTTTTTCTGCTTTTCTTTTGTTCCCTCCAAATAAGCTGTTGGTGGGCATTACTGAGAACATTGTGGGGTTTTTTTAACTCATTCATGCCACAGGTCATTACATGTGCACCACTGGAATGTATACATTGTTATCTAGTACGTCAGTTGGTTATAATGATATTTTAAATAAAAAAGAAAAAAAAAAAAGTTTGACCACCATGCATCTAATGTTTCTTCATTGCCAGGCTGCAATAGATTTCATATGGATTGCGTAATAGGGCTGCACTTGAAATCTTATTAGTGAGAGTCCTTCCTGAGGATTCATCTTTTTCTTAATGGTACTATCCTGTCTTGTGTGTGAGCTCACTTGTGGGCAAAGTGACCTTTTTTTCCATTTCTTCATTCCCATGGACTTTGGATGTGCCACAGGCTGTTAACAGCATTCATGGTCTTTGTGACCAATGGGAATCCATTCTTGCTTCCTTGCTGCCAGCTGCAGACACCTTAATTCCTGGAAATACAGCTGCTGAGAGCCCGTGCTGCTGAAAGAGGTAAGCCTTGGGATGCCTAGAGTAAGGGACAATCTCTCAAAACTGCAGAAGCCTGAAGGATCTGACTTCTGGAGAGCTGATTTGGATGCGTGGACCACCCACTGCACTGGCACTTCTCCCACAGGTAAGTCCCAACATAAGTCACTTCCAGCAGGGTTTCAGTGCTTCCTTAACAACTGCAGCTCCCTTGAGCTGTGCTGGTGGTGCCTTTGTGTCCAGTTTCAAGGGAAAGGGACTGTGACCACAGTGCAGCCAGCTTTGTTTATCTGGGCCACCAATCTGTAGGATGCTCTTGTAGGAATATGGTGGGGGACTCAGAAATGCTCTTGTTTATTTGCATATATCATCATAAAGTGCAGCCAGTTTCCTGTGACAATGTTATTACACAGCAAGGCCAGAGAGAGTCGTTGCTCTGCCCAGGATTTGTCTGGTGGCTCAGGACTGAAACTCCACAATGCTGCTTCAGTGGAGAGAGTGGAAACAAGTTCAGCGAACTCTCGTGAATGTAGATGAGTCATTAACCTATTAATTCATGTTCCTTTTTGTGTTAGAAATGCCACGACCTACCAAAGTTCTCTTCATTATTCTGAAGTGGTGCTGTTTTGGTTTTTTTTAAAGCATATGTCGGGGTTTTATTTCACTGAAAAGTTTTTACTGTGTTTTTTGTTGGTTTGTTGTTTTTTTTGGGGTTTTTTTTTTTTTGGCCTGTATAATACTGTAAGGGATATTTCAGGCTGGGAGGATGGCACAAATGAAGCTGTGGTAAAAATTTATTCCAGAAACCTTCTGTCACATTTAATTAATAATAAACAGACAAACACTTGCTAAGAAAGCTGACATTTAAATCAGGGACTGTTACAAGTGAAAGGTCTGCAAAATAAGTAGTAGTCTCCAGTGCTTGCTGTGGGGAAATGCATTGGTGGGGAAGAGTATGGAAACGGGAAAGGTAGGAAAGGGTATATCAGCTTCCTCACATAACAAGCTGTTCTTCAAAGCTGTGTACAAGTGGGTCTTGTTTCTTGCATAATTGCCCATGTCAGGAATTTAGCATTATGGTCCTGTTGCTGCACTTGAGGTTAACTGTGGTCCATTTTAGTGTGAACTGGTTGTTTGCAGCTTCTTGCCAGCTATATTTACTGCAGTGGCTCATCTTTCAAAGCAGCTGAAATTTATTCCTCATGAACAAGAACCATAGATGTTGCTGGAGCACAACAGCCAGTCTGAAAATGGTTTGTTTCACTCCTCATTTTGAGTGGATAGAGTTTCTTTGTATATTAAAAAAAATTAATTTTATCTTGGATACCACATTATGTAGTGCTATAGATCTCATGATCCTATCCTGGATCTGCAAGTTTGGGATAAATGGGTTTCTTAGCAGTTACCTAAGGTTAAATACCTAAAAACTGAGCCCTGCTGACTGGGAGACTAAACACCAGATACACCAGACAAGCAGTGACCAGGGCTGCTGGTTAACTCTCTTGAGTTTGTGGTGTGAACTAAAGGGAGCAGTTTGCACTGGATACATACAGGAGATAATGCAATATAACTAGTGTAAGGAAGGTGTGGGCTGTCAGGTTGGGTACAGTGAAAGGCTTCCATGTTTTGGGTAGAAATAAAAGAAGACATTAAAATACCTTCTTTGCTACTAGCATTGGGATTGAATGGTGCTTTCTATCAGTCCTGGTGTTCTACTTAGAACCATTAGACCACCCTCCAATATTAAGGTTTATTTTGTGATGGCTGACCTTGTACCTCCAGCTACCTGCCACACTGCTTGCTCTTCCAGCTCAGTCACTGTTACTGCTTCTCTCTCACATTATGCATCTGATGCTGCTGTTTTAAATGGCCTTGTTTTTCCTTAAAGGATAACTTGTGACCATTGGTCATGAATTCAAGGCAGAGATGGGAAAAAGAGATGGGGGTGATGCTCACACCTGCAGGTGGCAGGCAGCTGCTGCTGAACATGCAGGTACCTGCCTCATGCCAGGGCAGCAAGGAATCCAGGGCAGCTGGAGAGCCTGGGAAGTAGGAAAAAGGTTTTGAAATAACTGAATGAACCAATCCACATGACTTACTTGATTGACATTCCTTATCCAGGAAAAATTAGGTTAAAATTCTGCTTTTTGCTCACTTTAAATGGTTTACATTTTTTACATTTCTATAGGAAGGAGAAGTGTTACAGTGCAGTAGAAACAAGTTAACAGCTAGATGTTTTAAATATTGAAATATCTGGATATCTGTGAGATGATGAGGAGAAAGTCAATACTGAAAGATATACTATCTCCTGGTATGAAAAACACCCATTCTAAGGTTTTTTCCAGACAGTGAGTCATAGTCTTCTCTAGTAAGAAATGAGATTCAGGGCACTTTTTCAAAATACTTAAAATAAAGCATCTTCTTTGTTACAGTCTCTACTTTCCTTTTAGCCAGTTCATGTTGTTGTAGCACTTTTTGTTAGAATTCTTTCTCCTTAGAGACTCCCAAGCTACCTCAGGATGTCAAAGATAGAGTGCCAAGACAAAGTGAATGGTGCTGGGCTCGCAGGTGAAATTCAAGCTGAATCTGGTGAAACAATTTTCTGTGTGCAGGCTCTGCATGGCTCAGGGTGTTACACATGCTATGCAGAACTTCTTGAAATCACTTGGAAGGGAAGTCAGCCCCAGCAGCAAATTACCAGAACTTACAGCTTCATTCTAATGATTTGTCCTTAGCAGAAGTAAGGAACTTGGGATGATGGGTTGTTTGCAGTGTTCTTCCTGTCCCCTCATATCCCTGTAAGAACTAACAACAAAAATATCAGCTGGTGTAATGAGAAATGTTACAAGGGAGGTAAGTGTACATTGTGCAGGAATGGTTAAGGATAGATCCCCACCCTCCCCCCTTTACCACCCTGACAACCCCCACCCCAATTGCACTAATTCCTCTTACCATAAGTTTTGCTATTAAAGTTTGGATGTGTTTTGATGATAAGAATCTTCCATCTTCTGCCTTAATATATATATATCGACTCAGGAGATTTTTTTTTTTCTTGCAGCTAATACTGCTATACTTTTGGCTCAGAAAACCTTCAGATACCTAAGGCAAAATGTGCATATTTAAAGTTCCACAGAGTGTGTGTAGCCAATCTGATTATTAATCACAGTTTAATGTTAAGCTGCATTTTTGTGAAACACTGAAACCATTGGGCAGGTAAGGGACAATTTTAGTGAATTGTCAGGATTTTGGTATCTTCAGCTTGTTTGCAGACCTTTTTTTCACAATTATCTTCGTAAAATAATACCACTTTAGGAATGAGACATTTGAACAAACTTTATGGAGGAAGTGGGGTGAAAACCACCTCTTTAAATTTGTCTGGCAAACGTTCTGGCTGTGGTGACAGGCTGGAATGCCACCTCCTCAAGCACAAGAGCAAGAATCCTTCAGCTCCAGGCTCAGCTTGTCTGTTGGTTCTGGCCATCCACCCAGGCTGCAGGACCTTCCACTCTCCTTCACCAGCAAAAGGATGGTGCAGCTGAGTCCAAGGATGGCAGCAGGACACTCTGGAGAAGAGTATCTTACTGTTCTGTGGATACAGAGGGGACCCACTCTTTCTGGGCAATCTGACAGTACATTTTCAAGCTTTATGGTCAGCAGTCTTTCCCAGCTGGCCCAAATACTATAGCACATGTAAAGACAACAGGGCAAGTGTCACTGAGAGCACAATCACTATAGAATTACTCATGATACATGAGTATACCAGAACAAAATATGCATTTTCACTCATTTTGTCAGGAACAGGATTTTCTATACTTTTACTACTTGGGGACTTTAGCACTTTGACTCCCAACAGTTAAACATCCTAATGTTGAAAAAAATTCTTCCATTTCCTTCTGCAGGAGGTAATTTCTCTTCTCAGCATCTTCACGAGCGCGTTCAGAATTCCTCAGCTTTATTTCCAGCATCGTGTATTTCTTTCGTTCTTGGTCCAGTTCTTCTTCTAACCTAACCACTTGGTTCCTCAGGTCTGCACTTGTTTCTTCAATTCTTAAAACCAACAGAGAGGGAAAAAAAAAAAAAAAAGGCTTTTTAAAGTGACTGTATAAATACAGCTGATAACTATAAAGACTCTTAAGAGGAACAACTTAAATTTAACATATTCTAAGAGGAAGTTTTAAAAGAGAGAACTAAATGCTATTTCATTGCTGTTCAGTTTAGGGCAGAGCTTCCTTTATTTGCATCCTGAGAAAAATGCTCAAATCTTAGAAAACAATGCTTACTTTCCAGCATCAGACTGCCTGCCTAAGGAGATTCATTAACTCCTTAGCTCCTCACTTAGGCAGAGTTCAAGTATATATAATTTCACAATAATCTTTATCCATATAGGGATACTGTGTTTCCCTATATGAATATCCAGTACCGAGGAACATCCTTAGGGATCAGATAGGAATGAGGTCACAGTCCTTCCTCACCAGCTCTTTGATGGTATTTTCTGTGAAGTTTATCGCTGACATAGGGGTAGGGTACGAGATTTTATGAAACCCAGTGTTTCATATGAGGAAGAATCAGAAGAACAGTTCGTAAATGTATCTGGGCACAAAGTTCTGCAGCAAAATTCAGAGCTTTTCACTCAGGAGGTCAAAGAACAAAGTTCATGGTTTTGTGATTTCAAAGAAACAGCACT